GTGCACCACGTGGGGGTAAGTCTATCGCACACCCCACTTTATAGAGTCTATGTAATGTTAGTTGTATAAATTAAAAACTGAGCGGGACATAATAAATTGTTTCCAGCAAAAATATTTACAACTAATAGATTTAAGATCAGCTGAAATCGTCTTTTAGGATCAAAGACTCTATTACAAATACATCGCTTATGACGAAACCTATGGAGCAAAGCGCACTCTTACAGAAGAAATCGTTATGAACGAGACCTTGGAACCTGGAAAGACTCACCGTTTGAGACTCAACCGATATCAAGATGTTGTAAGTAACCTTTCCCCTATTACCTACCTTCTCATTAAAATAAACTATGAAGGAAGAGTGTCAACTAACTGTTGGCTATTAAAATTGTCCTATTTAGCTGGCGATAGCTAATAAAATAAATGGTTCAAACAACCAATTTATAAGTTATTTTAAATTTTTGGAGTGCGTTTTCGTTCTATGCAAAAATTTCTATGACAAGACAGCAGCCTCTTCGCCTAAACTTAAAACCAGAAAGCTTTTAGTTTAAGTTTTGATTCAATGTGCATGCAATTTTCAACTACCTCAACCTCAAATTATACAGGCAGGACATTACATATTGACTGTAAGTTTTCGTTTGCCTTAATTATCTTAACATTCTTTCACACTATTGCTAAATTCTCGCTTTGTTCTCAAAAACATTATTTTTTGCCTTATTAATATACACAGCATTTTTGCACTCTAAAATCTGCCAATTTGCTAAAGCCAAAAGAATGCTGACCGTTTCTTCGCAAAACTTAACCCATCACGCTTATGAAATGGGATGAACCAAACTTTAAGCATAATCTTTCTTAAGTTTAATATTACCTTACAACAATTAGTAATTGTCCTTCTTTAAGAAGGAATATAGATGCTTTTTTTCTATTATTTTGTTCGCTTATCATTTTGAAATACTTTCTGCGGCCTCTTCGTTTTTTGATTGAAAGTGTTTCTCTTAACCCTCATTATAATCAATATACTTTGGATGAATTTACGTCAATAAATTTTGCCTATTGTTTATCATTAAACAGTGATTTTACACAGGATGAGAATTTGAAAAGGTGTTTTGAAGAGTGTGTGTTTGTACTCTATTTTTCAATTTATTTACAGCTTCGTTTGAGCCTGGGTACCCAACAACAGTTTAAAAGGATTGTTTCAGGAAAGGCCCCATTAATTCCGGAGAATGGAGTAATTTACATTGGCGGGTCAGATAATGCGGCTATTTCAACAAATGGTGAGGTTGAAAGAAACTTTGATGGCAGTGTAACAGCTGTAAGTTCGTATATCTTTGCATAAATTAAGCTCGTATAATCTTCCACATTCATTCCTTGATTATTAATTTCCTAAGCTTGTTAAGCAATCATTGGTTCTATTTTCTTGGGAAATTCTTGTATTTTCCTACCAAAAGCATATGTAAGGGCATTAGTAGTTGTGCCTCTCATATCTCCGCACAATAATTACAGTGTTTAACTCTCTTATTACCAAACTAGAGGGGCGATTTAATGGAATTAAAAGGTTAAAATATTCGTAAAAAGCTGAAAAATAAGTTACAATTGACTTCAAAAATATTGATTTTACCTATTTGTTACAGTTGTTCAATAAAATATCGTTTTTAAGAGAGATGGCCCTTCATCTTGGAAATGCCAAAAGTGGTGCGGATGAGATAGGGCGTGTGCTTAGAGATAGCATTTACATGCAAATATTGTCGGTTAATCGAATTTCATGGAGATGTGTGTTGCCAATTTTGAACGACTTCGGTTTAATTCCAAAATAAACTTTGTTTTTAATGTCTTCTTTAAACTGTGGGTTCTTGGGATGAAGAAAAATTGAAAATATAATAAAACAACTTACATATTTCTCAATATTGGACCGATTTTAGGCAAAAATTACTCAAGAGGGGTCTGGTATCACAAACCTGGATATGTTGGAGTTGATTCGTGATCCTAATTGGAATCGAAACATTCTTCGAAATGGTGGTGTTGAATATGAATACCATATGCCTTATCGTCCACCAAAATTGTCAATTATCGATCCAAACGGGCCACTGATGCCAACGGCTTCAACTCGTGGACACGCTGGAATAACCCTCCACACCTCCCCGATTCCTGTGACATTCATGGGTACCCAATCATCTGTTGTGCGCTTCGACACGTGGGATTTCTCTGTTTTTCATTCCTTCGAAATGGAATTCAGAACTTTTGAACCTAATGGAGTTCTCTTCTTTGTGTGAGTATATTTATAATTTATTACTCCCCAATTAAAAAATATCTTTAAGGTATTTTATCAATTTATCGATTTCCTTACTGAAACGAACTAATTGATCTGTTAAATATCCAATGTCATTTAAAATCATATTTTCTCCCAATACGCCTATTATTTAAGTTGTATATCCAATTAGGCTGCTGCAATTTTTTTCTACTTCAAATCAGTTTTTTATATGCATCTTAATTAATTTGTCATAAATTTTAATATTCGTAACAGCTGTTACATCAGTACATTTATAAAAAAAACCGATTGTTTGTCCGCCTTGGCTGAATCATAACCTTCTATTCTAATTCGGTTTGGCTCTATTAACAGGGACAGGAAACTTCTTGAAAGTTATAAGCTTCATAAATTCTTAAGGGATCAATTTTTAAGCTGTTTGGAATAAGAAAAAATCAACTTATTTTGTCATTTGGTTTGACTTTATCAACTAGTTTTTTCTTCTCTCTTGTCGGTGCCTCCATTTCAAAACTATTGGCAGTGAAAGATCAAAGAGAATCCTCAAGTAATAAATAAATCAATGAATTTTCTAAGAATTGAGCTAATTTGTTTTTTTTGCAAAAATACAGGTCAACATACCAATATTCGATTTTTAAAAGCAGATCAATATGTTTTTTTCAATCCTGTAGGAAAGGGTGCCCCTTAATTCCTTTCATTGGCTAAGAACAGCACCTTTTCATGGCATTTGTCATTATTTTACGTCTAACATAATTCAAGTAGTTGCTTTTCGTAATAGCTCTTTCAGTTTAACTTACACTTAGTCTAATTAAAGTAAAGTAATATAATTTTGCAACATTAAAACACTGCTTAAAACTGTTTGCCTTTTGACCGGAAATAATTGGTTTAAACTAAGTATTTTAAGTACTTAAGACAGACAGAACAGAAACTTTTCTCCTCAATTGTCTATTTGCGTTTACCACTTTCCTTTCAAAATTAAATTTCATATATTTTACCCTTTTTGTAGTAGTTATAGTGAACTGGACTTAATTGAATAGTATTTAGTGAGAAATAGAGCAATAAGGTATACGAGTTATTTGATTTAGATCTTTTAAAAAATATGTAAAGTTGATGAATTTTCAGGCTCAACTTACACGTGGATACCAAATGCTGCACAATTTGTTTACTTGTAAATAAAGTTCATTTATATTAAAGCTCCACTGGTTTTTTGGCGATTTAACAGCATATTGATACTTAAAAGTACATGTATAATTCGACCGTGAAATCGATTTTTAGTGTGATGACATCCTTTCCCTATAGGAGATGTCCATACTGTGGTTTCTAAGGTCACCTCATAGTTTTGTACTTTTTCCACGGGAGCAAATCTAATATCTTGTCTGAAGAAAAATACGATCATTCATTAAGCGTGCACAAATCACAGAATCGTAGGCCACATAAGTGCTTCGCTAATAACTGCCCTACCCTCCCCCCCCCCCCCCCAATACGCTTCCACTGCAAACGCAGTCACATTCAATGAAAGTGCGACGTTTTAGGCGGTTGTGCGTCCGTGTTGCCATAAATCCTGCCAGCCACTGGCCAGCTTATATCGATCTACTTTCTGTTTGGTTAGCGGTAAACCAATCAGTTAGTACGGTTCTTGCAACGCACGCTTGTACACCTGCACTTGATGATTCAGTGACAGATGGCACTAAATCAATGTCCCGATGGCTCTTTTTCTTTTTTTTCGCAGGTCTGGAATATATTACTACTTTTATAGTTACTGTGTGAAGGCGTGAGATGAAAGTGCATGGTTTGCTTTAACTAAACCACATAAGTGGCGAATTTTAAGCACACTTTTACTGTGTTGCGCTGTGCGGTGAGACGGTATGTTTCATGCCAATACACCGTGTCTAGAGGCAATCATCTGCCAACTAAAACTTGTGTGTTGCTACCTCAGACAATAGGTGCATATTTAAAAGCATTTTTTTCATTTATGAGACTAGAAGACAGTTGTTGTACAAGTTTTTAAAATTTTCATTAGAAAATAAGAGGCAATTAATTCATAATGTGAATAATACTTTCTGAAAAGCCTTTTACCTGCTTTCATTACCAAAGAATTTTTTAATATCCCAAAAATATTTGTTATCTGAAAGTGTTCTGAAGATTAGAAACATTCTTTCAATAAGCAACACCTTAGCTAAGAATTTATTTATTTATATCAAATGGCGGGCGTTTTGATAGTTATCATTTGCCCTTTAGTTGACTTCAGGATTCACAGATGGGAAGGAACATCAAAGTGAAAAAGGTCGAGATGGGGGGGGGGACAGAAGTGTGTTTCAAAGATGTAAAAGAGACAGACACAAAGGTAGGGAAAAAGGTAAGATGAGTACTGTGAAGTAATAGTTGAATATGACAAGCAGTCGGGCCATGGTAGTTTGAAGTCAGAGGTCAACTGCCGGTTAATAGACTTTTTTGCCGTATGAGTATACGTTGCCCAGGGTACACCACGTGGAGGTAAGTCTATCGCACACCCCCCCTAAGCTAGGAATAAAGTGTCTTCTGAAAATATTTAGAAAAGTTGAGAAAACGGATTATTTATCCATCTAGCAAAAGGTCTAATTCAAAGAAGGTTGTTTCTGAGTGATGGTTTACAAAGTGTCACTTTACGTAAAACTAGATATTAGTAAACATTTAAACAATGCAATGTTTTCATTATAGCTTTCTTGCTATCTTATCATTTTACCCTCGGCAATAGGGTAAAGGTCAATTTTGCACTAATGACTGACTACATTCCTTAGGTATCTTCAATTCACTGTTGCCAAATGTTTTGCCACGAGCTGCTCTACCTTAAAACTTAAAAATGATTGATTAACTAATAAAATTTGGTCTTTATTGCTTTCATCCTTCTAGGGGTCCTGATCGAGAACACACAGACTTCGTCTGCGTTGAAATTTTTGATGGAAATGTGTACTTCGCATATGGTATCGGTGATCATTATAGACACATTCAGCTGAACCCAATAACCCGCAAAGTAAATACAGGAACAGCCCACCGTGTCTATGTTGAAAGGACTCCTCAGCATCGTTTTATTGTGAGTTGACGATAATCTGATTTCATTAAATAGTCAAGTTACGCATGAATTATTTTAAATATTGCTTGATTCCAAACCGGAAGTTCCCCCTCATTCCTTATGACAAAGTTTAGAATAACCTTAAATTCCACAATAAATAGACCACTCCACAATAGTTCATAAGATTTGTGCATTAGGTGAAATATAACGGTCGGGAGATAGATGTTAATCAAGGAACTTCGCGTCATCAAGCTGAATTTTCCAGCTACACGTACTTTGGAAGCATCGACCAGCCCTCTCGATTTCCATGGATTGTCTGGTCTAGGGAGAATTTTGCTGGTTGTATAAACTTTATCCGTGTTAATGATGACAAATTTCTGGATCCTGCTTCGTAAGTCAAATAATATTACTTCAATTCAAAGTCGAGAATAGGCTATGATCCATCATTTGTTGCTTTAAGTCGAATGAATCAACACACGGACCTTAGTCGCGGTATTCAATTCGGTGTCTGCAAAGCCCCAGACCTACGTTGTAATAGGGAAATTTGTGGTGGAGGTCAGTGCCACGAACGTTCTTATCCATTTTTTGAACCAATGAACTTTGCTTGTGATTGTTCTGCATCGGACAAGACATTCAGAGAAGGCGTTGAAGACATTCGCCGTTCAGAGTCCTGTAATCGTGGTACGAATTAATTTTATCTAGTGTTCTACTTATTTAATGACAGTAGATACGATATCAGGTATTCTATTTTAGATGCTCCAATTGTTGAATTCGATGGCGAGAAGGTGTTAATGATAGATTTTGAAAGACAAATGAATACGCTCACAACGCACACGGACGATATCAATCTCCAGTTTAAGACCATGAGCCTATACGGTCCTTTATTCGTAGCTGTCTCTACAGCCGAAAAGCAATACTTCCGTGTGGAACTGGAGAACGGTCTCATTAAAGTGACTACCAATATGAATAAGGCTAGCAATCCTCCACGTGATTCCGTATGTTCGAAATAATTTGTACAAACTAGTAACCCTGAATATTCACTAACTTTTTTACTCACTTTTTGTAGGAATTTGTTCTTCAAAGTCCATTGCTTAACGATAACAACTGGCATACTCTTAGAATTCGACGTCGTGCTCAGTTCCTATACATTAGCGTAGATAACACCAGTGAAAAAGACGATTCCCTGATTGTTGAAATTCCAAAAGGTGTATTTAACAACATAGCCCAACAAATCTATGTTGGTGGCATGATGCCAGACAACTACGCGTCTCCACCTGACGGCAATAGGGCTGGATTCCTCCCAAGGGGACCCAAATTCGTAGGTGAAATGAGAAACTTCTACTGGAACCAGTACGACTTCTTTGGAACACGCCAACTATCTAATCAATATACAACTGACGTCTTAACACCACGTTTGGAGCTTCCAACATTCCCAAGTTGGCCCAGAGAGCCTACTTATTCAATCACTTGCACATCTAAACTCAACTGGGGTACCATCCAGGTTCCTATGAAAGCAAAAGAAGCGGGTGATATGTGGCTCTTAGAGTTTAAGACGAAATATGATGGTGTGTTAACTCACGTAAGTCAAAAAGAATTAGAAAGATGAAATAAAGTCGAAATATGGGATCAATTTGGTATTTTAAATATTTAGGCACGAGATGATACCACAGGGTCCCATTTCACATTAATAATCCTCAAGGGTCGTCTACACTTAATCTACTCAATTGGAGGAGTTGCAGGTGTTCACGAGATAATTAACAGTCCAAACACTGTCACCGACAATATTTGGCACCGTGTCACTTTTGGCCTTGATCGTGTTAAGGGCCGCTTTGTCGTAATCGTTGATGATTCGGGTCCAGAGGTAAGCTCAATAGTGATAATTGCGTATAAATATCTCTATAAACGCCATTCAAAGCCATCAGACCAGTCGAAAACATAATGGCTACTTAATGGAACAGGAGCCTTTATTTTCACTATGAGTAAGGCAGTGTAACGCGCAATAGCACTTGCATAGTAATTGTCATTACGTTCATTAACCACTCATAATAAAAGTGTATATATATTTAAAACGGTACAAATAAATCCAATAAAATTCAACATTGCATTCACGTCCATGTACTAAAATTGATTCGTTACTGTATGAAAAGAACCGAAGAATGAAAATACGCGATCCATTTGTAATTATTTATCATCAACCTTTCCTTCATTATACTACTTTTAATTCAGCTGCTTAAAAAATATTTACCCCTTCGAATTAACTTTGTAGAAGCAGCAATTTGGTATTGTTTTCATTTAGCTAACGATTCCATTCATTCGTACTAGGGGTATTTCACCTGTTGCCATCTGGCTCACTTACTATACGCGTACAACAACTTACGTCTACTTATGGCATTTGACCAACTATGCTATGCTTCTGCCGGCTAATTTGTTCAACATAAATTTTAAATTTATTTACTTCAAAACTTGGAATAAATCACTCTCAGATCCTATATTCTTGCAGACAATCAAAGTGTTTACCTTAGCCCCTTACCTATTACCTCATTTGGTAAGTCGCTGTTCGTGGTGGTCTTTCTGTCGTCGGTCCCTCACCAGATTAATTCTAAACAGGCATTAAATGTTCAGATTAGAAACGACTTTGAATGTTATCACATTCACTTTATCAAAACGCGCTGATTTGCATGTTTAAACTGTAATTGAATTATTCGGTCCTATGTCCAAATACACTTTAACTCAGGCACGCAGTGACAGCGCTTTCCCATCATACTTGTCGTCAATATGTCCGTGTATCTCACTATAGTATTGTCTTCCAGATTCTTACTTTTGTATCAAGTCCAATAACAAACTTTTCTTCCAGACCTTTGGACATCGACTTCAACACAACACTCTTAATACCTTGATCTTCCATTTTGGAGGTGTTCCGGGTACTTGGAGCAAGATTTTGGAGATCATCAGACTATATGCACCCACATTGTTGTCCCGTGGACATGAGTTAAGTCCACCGGCTTTGACGGGATGTCTAGGGGGCTTCAGTACAAGAACTGATCGATTCTTAGTCGACTTATTGAAGAAGTACGACGCTAATCTGGAAAGCTATCCTCCTGATGAAATTATACGTGGATACTGCCGAGGTACGTTGATAAAAACACAATTAATATATTATTGACTTAGGAAGACGTAACAGAGAAAATCATTAGTGCTTCAATTGCTCAAATAATGCTTTAAATATATTTACGGTAAAATACGCTGCCTTGTAAAAGTAGATATGATACAAATAGTTGAACAGAAGAATAAGCTTAGAGACAGCTAGAATTATACAGTAAATAACTTTAATTCTTTTATGATTTAACTACATGATATTTTTACTAAAATAGCTTTATTTACTTTGCTTAATAATTGACTGTTGGTATTGAATTAATAATATTTCATTAATATTAGTTCAGCTTTACCGAGAGACACGAAGAAAATAAGATTCACTATACTTTTTTCGATTTAAAGAGGATTGTGCTTGCAAACCGGGTAAGAAATAGCAGATGCAAGTCTTCTTCTAATTAGACAATCTAATTTTTAGTTTTTTCCTTTCATGATTGCAAACACTTGCAATTCTTATTAGAACATAGAATGTATTCACTTTAATTTCCTAGTGCATTTAATAATTTTGTCACCGTAATTTCTTCCCACAGATGGTGAGTTTGGCTTATTTCGTCTTACCATCCGCATGTTGCTACTTTATTTTACTTCAGTAGCATTTATCGCTATTTCTATTTTTGTTCTCCGCCTACTGCAAACCTACCGATCACTCATTAATATATAATAATAACAAACAGACATCTCTAAAAATATACACAAAATAAAATGTATGTTTGGCCATTTTTCTGTTTATTGACAAATCTCTTTTTGACCTTACTTTGGCTGTGTGCATTAAATACTGCTTATGAGGGTTAAAAAGAAAACTGCAGTATTGCTAAAGAAGTAATAAGATGTAATCATCTGCTTGTCCGCTTTATAATTCCCGTGAAGCAATTCGTACACGTGTGTTTGTGTCAAAACCATGTCGTACTGCATGTTAAGTTTGCCCCATGAATATTCGCATTGACTGTATTGGCATTTAACTTCAGATATAGTCAGATGTACTCCAGACTACTGTTCCAATGGTGGAATTTGCGTCAAAACCAGTGACACCAATCTTCTTTGCAACTGTACGAATACTGGTTACTCAGGCCCCAGATGTGAAGATCGTGTGACTATCTGTCCTCCAAACTTTTGTCTAAATGGAGGTTATTGCAGTATTATTGGCTCAAATCCAGTATGCAATTGTCAAGGCACCGGTTATTATGGCGATAAATGTGAATTTTCTGTCTGTTCTCCTGACTACTGTAAAAATGGTGGTATATGCACAGTTATAAATGGTCAACCCGTTTGTGATTGCAGTAATACTCCATTTGGTGGAGCAAGGTGTGATGCGATCATATGTCGCCCTGATTATTGCCGAAATGGAGGTGTCTGTCTTGTCCAAAATGGACGTCCAGTCTGTGACTGTTCTGGAACTGGTTACAGTGGCCTCTACTGCGATCAACCAATATGCTCACCGAATTACTGTAGAAATGGTGGAATGTGTATCATTCAAGGTGGGCAGCCTGTTTGCGATTGTTCTTCGACAGGACACTCAGGTCGTTTCTGTGAAGTTCCTGTCTGTAGACCTGATTACTGTCGCAATGGTGGCCATTGCATGGTTCAGAATGATCGTCCTGTCTGTGACTGTCGTGGTACTGGCTATGAAGGTCCATATTGCGAAAACGCCATTTGCCGACCAGGATATTGCAGGAATGGTGGAATTTGTTCTATCGCAAGCGGACGTCCAGTTTGTGATTGCTCCAATACTGGGTATGGGGGCCAATTCTGTGAACAGCCAATTTGTAGACCTGGTTTCTGTCTCAATGGAGGTAGATGCATTGTTCAGAATGGTCAGCCGATATGTGATTGTCGTGACACGGGTCACGTTGGATCACACTGCGAACAGGGAATCTGTCGTCGAGACTACTGCATGAATGGCGGAATCTGTTCCGTTGTTAATGGACAGCCAGTTTGTGATTGCAGTGCTACTGGTTATGAAGGTCCGCTTTGCGAGCAACCTATTTGTCCCGATGGCTATTGCCTCAACGGAGGGCGTTGTGTTGTTCAGAATGGTCGTCCTTACTGTGATTGCACAGGAACAGACTACCGTGGAGACCGTTGTACGCAGCCAATCTGCCTTCCCAACTTCTGCCTTAATGGAGGCAATTGTTATGTTTATGAGGGAAGTCCTCACTGCAATTGTACCGCTAATTTCCGCGGAGATAGGTATCTGTTCACTATATTGAGATTAGTTCTATCTGCATTTCACTTAGTACCGACGAATTTCCTATTTTAGGTGTCAATCTCCAGTTTGCCCTTCTGATTATTGTAGTAATAATGGTAGGTGTTATATGTCAGGTTCGACGCCTGTGTGTGATTGTACGGGAACGGGCCACACTGGTGACCGATGCACAAACCCAATTTGTCCCGATGGATATTGCCAAAATGGTGGTATCTGTCACGTTCTTCCTAGTGGTAAACCATTTTGTGATTGTTCGCACACGTCTAATACCGGAGCTCAGTGCGAGAATCCTATTTGCCAGCCAAATTACTGTTCTGGACGAGGAACATGCAGAGTTGAACAAGGACGTCCAGTCTGCGAATGTCAACTAGATTATTGGGGATCACAGTGCCAATTGCAAGTCTGTCCGCCTGGATTCTGTCAGCACGGTGGAACTTGCTATGCAGGTACTGATCGTAAACCACACTGCCGTTGCCCCGAAGGCTACGAGGGTGATCAATGCGAAATTCCAAAAACCTGTCCTCACGGCTATTGTTATCACGGTGGGGAATGCACAATGTTGGGGGGTATGCCTGTATGCAACTGTATCAACACCGATTATCAGGTCAGTCTCAGTTGGTTTATATCATGTTAAATCATTTTGATGGAGGTGAAATATGAATACTTCATATTTTTGTTTTAAAGGGTCCTCGTTGTCAGACGCCGAAAACCTGTCCTCCTGGATATTGCCAAAATGGTGGATTGTGCACTGTTAGCGGGGGTCGGTATTTATGCAATTGTTTGGGAACGGGATTCCAAGGACCAACTTGTTCTGATCCGGTCGCTTGTCCTACTGGCTACTGTCATGGCGGAATTTGCACAGTTCTCCCAGGCGGGCGATATCTTTGCAATTGCTGGAAAACGGGTCGTAGTGGACCCACTTGTGATGGTGGTGAGTTGGAGAGTGGAACTTAATTTTCCATTTTCTTTTACAAGTATGCGTATTTATTTCATATTTTTATTCTGTACATACTTTTACTGAACATTTGATATGCCATTTTTCAAACAATTCAAAAGATCGAACTATTTGCCTTGGCAAATAATAATGTTCCATTTCGTTTCTTTATATTTTGCACAGATTTAATTTTTAACCACTGTTTAAACCAATACGTGGACCATGATAAGCTTCATTTGAATCCCATTATTCTTCTCACGTGCCAATTTTAAGGGAAATATGCTTGATGATTTATTTGCTACGACGATGACGGTGAAAGTTCTATTCTATTTGCCTATCTGCTCGAAGTCCAGTTTCTATCTTCACCCTTAAAGTCGAGGATTATTTGATATTGAGGAGTCTATTGGCTGTTTTTGGGTTTCCTAAGATGTAATAAACAAAAGAATGGACTCACAGTGTTTTGGAGAAGGATAATTATGAAATTTTTCCAATTTTAGGAGTTTAATTTCAAATACACGTGACAGTTCTCTGCAAGTTTTTCATTTTCATTTGAGTTTCGGTAGAGTTATTTTTTTCATAAATCATGGCTAATTTTGTATTCGTAAAAAATCTTTAACCTCTGTATAATCTACGAAACAGCCTGTTTGGGATATGCTAGCTTGTCAATTTGGTACGCTTAACTTTAGTTTGAATTAAACTAAAAGTCCAAGATACCCGATGAATGACTTGAAGAATTTTCAAATCAAGAATAAAATGAAAGGATTCGAAACTAAACCTTTTTTGTGAGCTGCCCATGAAATAACTATACTTTTTTCGGTCTGACATAGATGAGCCCATTCTGTGGTCAACTTTTGAGTTTATTGGTTGAGTAAGTGAGATATAAGCTACCAGTTCAACCTCACTTAATAAAATAATTAGGCATGCTTGATCCTTATACAAATTCAAACTTGATATTCATTGGATTCCTAGAAGATTTTGGTATGTCCAATTGGCTTTTCCTCTACACACTTGTAAAAGAGTTATCGATTCGGGAATTTATGAAAGAAAAATATCAATTAAAATTCAACCATAACCACCTAATATTTATTTCTTATCTCTTCGTTCTTATAAAATCATCTAAGTTACTAAGAAGACATCCTTGGAGCTTAGAACAAATCAGCTACCTTAATATTCTATCAAATTCCTCCTAACATTCTTCATTGAGTATTTATAGCTTACTTACCCTCGTCAAAGTAACACATGAGAATTGTTTCCTCTGATTTACAGCATACATTTAATGAAAAATGAAAATCGATTATGAAATTGTAGCTAGTCAAATTTCATTAGCTAGTGCTATTTCCATATCATGGTAAAACCCCATTAACATACCTTGAATTTCTTGGTATTTGTAGATGTGAATGGCATTTACATTGATTACGAAAAGGTCGGCTACATGGTGTACGATCTAAATCCTCCCTTCAAAACAACTGAAGACAATGTCACAGTTGGATTTAAGACATACTCACAATCGGGAACGATTCTCGACTTTGTTTCAACAACTGGGACTCATTGGAGCATTAAGATCGTGAGTTGAGTCCTAAAATTTTGTCATGGTGACCACGTCTAACTCTTTGGATTTCAGCAAATTTACAAGAATGAGTAAACAAAGTTAAATTTCATATATGATTAATATTAAGGAAGGACTGACCTTTAATATACCCATTACTGCTTTAAACTTTCTAGATTAATGGAACGGCATTGTTAGGAATCGTTTTAATGCTTCTACTTATTATGTGTTTTAGGCTGTATCTAAGTGTTTCTACGGTTCGAAATTCATTCGTATTCCTTTATCCTAGTATATGTTTTGTTCTCTTCATTAACTTCCATTAGCACGTATCAAGTGAAGTATGCAAAATTTCTTGCTGGTGGATCTTGTTAGAAAATCTTCTGTTGTTCATTCTGAATAAACATATTTTCTCACTTTCTCTTGTCAATAACGAGTATTTTCACGTAATGAGAACGAACACTGTAGGCGATAGAGGTTTAGACTGCAACTCTAATCGAAAGCAAAAAAAGGTGTGCAAGTGTGAGCTAGTTTGAAGAAATCAGATCGCCTAACGCGATCGATATCAGGTGGCAATTGATAAACATTTTCGGGTGGTTGGCGCGAGGTAGCCAAATCTTCGGAAATTTGCATTTTTAACAGTAATGCTTTCCAACTGCCTTAATCAGTAAAAGCTTAATCAGAGGACAAAGATTCACTAAACTTATTTCTATTGCTTATGCCACGGCTTATACTGCTGGCTAACATACCCACACAGCATCTAATGTAATGAAAATGACTTCAAAATTTAAATTCTGTCAAAATGTTCACAGATACATTAATTCATTGCAAATAAAAGCATGTTATTTAATTTTGGTAGGTTATTGACTGTACTGAATTCTCCAATTTGTGCTAACCTTTCAATCGATAAATCCTAGTCGTGAATGCGGAACGGAGATAGATATTTAATTTATTAGTAGAAACTACATTTTTTACTTGACACAAATTTCATTCAAAATATCTGAATGATCTTTCAGCGCAACGGTCATATTGTGGTGGATAGGAACGGTCAGGAATACATGTACCCGAACGCTGTCAACGATGGAGCATACCACATTGTTAGCGTTGAACGTAGAGGTGATCGCATGCTCGTCGCTCTTGATAGTGATCAAATTGTCAATCTGCCAATGACAGGTGAGAAAGATTGATATCTGACTGTTTTTGGGTTCTTTCCATGAGGATTTATTACTAATTAGCTATTTGGTTTGTAGGTATAACTGATAGAAATGATCAAAGTATCACATACACAACTCTGTATGTCGGAGCTAACAAGGATAGAGAAGACATTTTCCGTGGCGCTATCGGCGGTAAGTGTGCCAAATCTTTTTTTGAGAATTCCCTTTGTTGAAAGGTGGTAGAATATGAATTAAAATATTTATTTATTTATTTCAAATGGCAGGCGTTTTAGTAGCTATCATTAGCCATTTAGCTGACTTCGGGCTTCACAAAGTAAAGGTTCATCAAAGTAGCAGAAAGTTGCGGGGTGATGAACAGAAGAGCGATTCACAGACAGACACAAAGGTAGAGAAAAAGGTAAAGTGAGTACTGTGAAAGTAGTTAAGTATGACATGCAGTGGGGTGATGGTAGTTTGAAGTCAGAAGTCGACTGCTGGTTAATAAACCTTTTAGCCGTATGAGTATACGTTGCCCAGGGTGCATCACATGGAGGTAAGTCTATCGCACACCTCTGAATTAAAATATAATGTAGGACTTTGATCAACTCGATTTTTGTGCCACATGGCTTGAAATGCATACACACACGGACACTTAGTTTGTCTAGAAGGCTTGGTAGGAAAAAAAGCCACACGCAGGCTTATATAAATTAAGATTTAAAATTATTTATACGCTTTGTTTTCTCATATTAAAATAACGTCAAAAGATATTATTTTGACTCCATTTGCATATTCATGACAAGAAAATCGAGAGTTTGACAAACCAAAGAACAAATATTTGGGTTTGCTGCTCCTATTTCAGATAATTACCAATGGGAAAAAACTTTCAATAATATGAAATATGTAGACTTTCCTTCATAAAATAAAATGACTGAAGGGTATATAAATAAAAGGTTAATTCATTGTGGCCTTTTTACTAGAGATCATTTGACAAATCTGGTACTTAAACCGTCAACTTCGTACGTTATATGCTGTCTTCAGATATGCTAGATATTTAGACTCGAAGTTGTATTTAATATTAACCAGTTGTGAAATATGAATATTTAAAATGTGTTTATTTAGAAGGTAAAATTCGAAATTGAAGTATATTTAACTATTATCTCCTTCGAAAGGTCTCTATTGGAACGGTCGATATCCCATTGATGAAGCTAAAGGAGGTCTCCAGGTTATAACCGGAGAAGTCGTTTACGTACTTCTACCAAGTTTCATTCTACCTGGGAAGAAACCAGTACCTCAATGCCTACCTGATTTCTGCTTCAACGGTGGAATCTGCTTTGTTGAGGATTACGAACTCAAATGTGACTGCCGTCTAACTGGTTGGCAGGGCTCAAGATGCGAATTGCGTAAGACAGTCAAATTACCATGATTTATTTCTTGAACTGAGTCACAAGAGTTTGTTAGTGAAGAGCTTCATGAAGAAGCGTTGTATCGACATTTTCTTCTGGGTGCTTGATAAAATTCTCCTTCATGTTTTTTACAGCTGTGCTTCTTAAAGTATTTTATTTCGTGATTAAATATCGACCGCAATTGATATTTTGTAAACTCTTAAATATTCGAAAATGGCTAAATAGAGTTTTGGCCTTTACATCATAAAAGGAAGGGCGTTTCTCCACAATGCGCGAAAAATTTTCTTACGACTTGGCTCAATAGCATGGGAAATTCGCTTATTATTTATTTCACTTAGACTCGAACCATGTGGAAGCTTAACACTAATAATATTAATTCACTTAAAATAATTTATTGGTAATAGTTTCTTTACAAAAAGACCAAATTTGAAATTATTTGTCAAGAGGAAAATTTAGTAAGTTTTCATAATTGTTTCCTTACCGAATATTGGCTTAGTCGATTATTATTTTACCAGTATAATTAGAAAATATAAGCTACAAATGAGTTACGGAATTCTAAGAGGATTTAACTTGGAATGATGGTGGGAGCATGAATGACCCAATAATGCATTCTGTAAACTGAGTGACGAATGTTTAAATGATCAAACTATATCGAATTCTTTTCCTTAAATGTGCTATTTTAGCAACCCGTGGTGTTCTGCCTGCGGTTACTGGTAACGGTGCATACGTCATCTTGTCGATTTCACCTCCAAAACGCACAAATGTGGACAGAATGAGAGTGGCTTTCCAAACATTTGCCACGGATGGACCAATTGCACGATTCATGTCATCAGATGGTGGATTCTACGATGTTTATATGGTAAGAAATTAGTGTCTCTCCAACTTATTAAATTAAGTTATCATCCTACCAAAGATGATTCCTTTATTCAAACCGATTGAATGCTTATTAGTTAATCGATTTACATTTTACCTCTTCAAGATTTACTTGTTCGCAGATCTTAAACACTTGAAGATTTGGAAGGGACTGGCAATGTGACATGGATAAATTTCCAAAAATCTTCTTTTGTCTTGGAAACCCCGAGCTTGACCTCATCAGTTCTTTTAAAACACTGGTGCTATTTAATGAGTGGATTTTCATGGTACCGTAGGTGTAATTTTAATAAGCGAAGACTCACGAGAAAATTTCGATAAATTTTCGCGAGACACATCTCATTTTTTCTCTACTAGACATCCTTCATATGTTGCAAATATTCTTGCGTATTGCCAAAAGTACCGACTCTACATAGAGTGGAAATTTATGATATCTACCTTACAGAATTAGTTCACATAGTAGTTGTCTCTGCCTGTGTGATTCACACGCCTATCCACTTTGAATCACACATTTAATTAGAGCTACTTTCTGTTTAGGATTGCGAGATGGTGAACAAGCAGTAATTAATGACTTCACATCTTTGTTATCTTTTTTTTCCTCCCCTTATTATGCGAGCAAAGTATGTACCCTTTTCTCCACTTACTAATTTCAGCCATATTATGTAAATTCTGAACAGTTGTGAATTTGATCGCGTAGGCGGAATAATGTATGCCCTAAATAGCAATTGTGATTCATGGGATTTAAATCAATTAGTTAATCAAGAAGGAGACTGGTATTAAAATGTACTAAAAATATCATTTTAATGCTTATAGAAGGGACAACAAGTATTTGCTTCGAACAGAAAAGACGACATCCGTTTGATAAGCGCCCCTTATCAACAATGCGATGACGGAAAAATGCACGTAATCACATTGGTTCGCAACGGATCACGATGGGATTGGTCTGTGGATGGCCATCATACCACCTACTATGATAACTGTGAGTCAACATTTTAAATTTTATTAATTTTCGTCGTTGTTTCTCACCCTAGGTCTGTGCAGTGCAAGTCACTGTGAATATGATTGGTACATTCAAGGTCGAGCGCGAAAAACTAACAAATCAGAAGCAGCCTGTGTGCATCCTGGCACGTTTGCAAAGAGGCTTTCTGCGAAAGCAAAAGTTAACCCATTGCGTTACTTAAGCACTTAGTAGATGTCTTTTGAAATTGAAGTTTACTTTTCATATCAGTTTTTAAATACTTCCTCGCATAACTTATACCATTAAGCGCATTTAAAAGTGTGAGTTTTTATTGTTGAACATTTATGAAAACAATTTATCATTTTGATTAGCCTCGAATCGCAATTTCAATTAATAGGAAGTATATATTCGTTTCAAAATTTTATCTTTTTAAGGTAATACTACTTCATTTTACGGAGAAAGAAAATATTTAACAATATAATAGAATATTTAATTTTTGTTGCTTTTATAGCTTCTATATTGGTATTATGACTATTTTTGTGAGTATGGCCTTTATTACTCTAAATTTCTTTTTTTCTGGCGGTAGTTTGACATTCTGTACCTTTTCATAATTGCTTGAATAGTGAAAATGACATTGTCCTTAGCATCTTTGACCGTTTAGAATTATTACATATTTAGCAGGAAGTAAAGACCTATTGTACACATAAATGCATTGTGTTTTTGTTTTTTGATAATTTTTACAATATCCGACTTCTATGCTGAAGGGATGACATACCAATTTTATCTCTAACATAGATTCATTTAGCTGAAATCCTTTTTGGCAAAATTACACGCTTCTAAAGTGCATACTTCAATTCTTGATGATAATCCGGTTGACAGTGAGACTTATTTTCGTTTAAGTCAATTATTCTGTCTAGTTTTAGAGAGCATCATTATTTTTTTACTTCCCACGAACGTAACGGAATTTAAGCATTATGAGAGACTAAGTTATCTTCATTATTTTTTTGTTTTCATAAGGAGAAATTAATTGAGTATTATATGATGAAGATTGAGTATTACAGTACTACCTCTTCTTTCTTCCAGACCTCCTTGATAACCGTGGATCTCTGATCACCAAAGAGATAATTCTCGGAGCTGATCGCAACTTCAGGCATTCTTTCAACGGTGTAATTGGTGGTAAGTTTACAATCATAGGACTTATTTCTTCGTAAAAATCTTCCATTTTATATGCCCTTAATTTACGCTAAAAATTTCAATGATTTCCTAAGAATTTAAAGTCTTTTGTTTCCCTTAATTTTCTTATTTTAGCGAAACTTTAAGCGAAGTTAATTGAAAGCAACGCAATATCACCAGTCATCGAAACCCATTAGTAGAAAAATATAACCGTCTCCTTTAGACATCTACTGATATTACAATATTGGCGTCTGACAGAAATTTGATTAAGATAGTGATATTCCTTGAAGTTAATTTAGAAAATGTTGTCCTTGTATTAACACTGATACAGTTTGAGGAATTATGGATAAAGTTTCTCATTCAGAATCACTATGAATCACTCTTTTGATTCCGGATTGTGCACTGATTCAATTTTTTATTTGTGTCTTCTGAAAATGGTTTCTAGAACAAAAGTTGTTCGCCTTAAAAGTTAGAAACTGTGGGAAAATTAGTTACATATACAGTATGCTAAATAAACAAATATTAAATTTTCGGAGATAAAATAAAAGCCATGCTTACATTTATTTTCTGAATCAAGGAACTGTTCGAAAAAGATGAGCTGATACTGACTTATGAAGAAATCGTGAATGCAGATTGAGTCTCGATGTAAATAAAAAAAAATATTTAAATTAAACGATTCTTGCTACGGTATCGCTGGGCTGCAGCGTCATAACGTCTAATTCCTTTCTACCAAAATCTCTTTGTCAGACATAAATCATTACCCACTATTTTTCTTTGCAGCATTTGATTGGAACGGTCAGTACTTGGTGACAGAAAGCGGTGAATTATCAGGAAACTCTGCTGTGATGATTGTTCCCGGTCGAAGCGTAGGGGACAAAGACGACGTCGTGATTGTGGTGATGCCGCATCTACTAGTGCCACCCGTGGCAACAACCCAACCTCCACCCCTTCCATTTCCTCCAGTCATTCCTGTCGATGGCATTCACGGAGGAGCCATTGTTGGCTCTGGTGACGGCAACCTCGTGGTACCTCGTAAGTCAGTCTCTGCTGCCCACTTTTGTAGGGATGCAGACATAAATTGAAATGAAAGTTTATTCAACATCTCAACCTTCATATAATAATTTAATCAGCTAAAATAATCCAATAAGAATATTGATAGATATATGAGCATAAATTACCAACAATCGATCTTTGAATTAGTCCAATCTTGTATGGGTCAATATTTATTTAAAATGGCGGGCTTTATGATACTTTTCGTTAACCCTTTGGCTGACTTCGGGCCTCAAGGAGGGGAGGAACATCAAAGTGAGAAAAAGTAAAGAGGGGGGACAGAAGAATGATTCAAAGGTATAAAAGGGACAGACAGATTCAAAGGCTGAGAAAAGGTAAGATGAGTACGGTGAAAGTGGTCGAAAATGACATACAGTGAGGTGATGGTAGTTTGAAGTCAGAAGTCAACTTTTAGTTTATAGACTTTTTGCCGTATTAGTATACGTTGCCCAGGGTGTACCACGTGGTGGTAGGTCTATCACACACCCCTTATGGGACAAAATAAATTTTACCACGTTAAATATTATCGACTAACGATGAGTTCTTGTTTGCCCATCTCTATTTATTAATAAGGGTTCTTTTTGCTCCAAGCATTTTTTTTAGGAATGAAAATGGTTGAACTTCGCAAGCAAATTGCACCAACTTATTAATAGCCTCTCTTTGCCCTATGAATTTTACCCCAATTTCCAACAATTTATGATTACTATTTTAAAGAGTTATATTTTTTAAAGACAACAACTACTGGTTAGAGATTTCAAGCTTAAGGCATTTGACTTAATCTTTTAAAAGAAATGATGTAAATAGAAAGTTAGAATTTGACCTATCTCATTCAGACGATACATTCCGTGTACTAGTTTTTACTTAGAAAGTGAGGATTGCAGACTTAAAAAACGAGTGCCTTTTACTATTAATCATATCCACGTTATTTTGTTGCTCTGGCTGAGTTTTCTTTTATGCAGATCAGTGCGGATTTCTTTCGATAAAATGGAATTTGACACAAGTAATGCATTTTACAGTCCTCTCATCTCATATTTCGTAAGAGCCTGAAGTTTTTCGATCAATATTGTGCATAACAACACTAATAGGGATTTCCGATTAACCATATAAAAAGGTCTAAATTGTAGCACGAAGCAAGCATCTGATAAAGGTTCAACTATTTCGAACACAAATTTGACCTTTATGGATGCATATGTTAAGATGAATAAATTCTATTTTAAAAGAAATTCATCCGTGGAATAAAAATTCATTTTGACTAAATATTTGTTTACCTTTATAAAAATTTAGTCATTATTTAGAATCAGCTGCGGATTTCCTTTTCAATCCAAAATTATGCAAAGAGCTAGCCTTTGCATAGGCGTATTTTTCACGAGTTCCACCAAGAATTATATTTATGTTATTTCCTTAAATAAGATTTACAACAACCAGACAAGAAAAAAATGTCCAGTCCTCTCGAATATTACCAAGTTACCTTCTCCTTCCCAATTTCGTTCTTGATTCTCTTAGAGTCTCTTATACTTATACTTATTCGGATAGGAAATTTTCGTTTCATCATAAATCATCCAAAGTATTTATATCAAATGGCAGGCATTTTGATAGTTATCATAAGCCCTTTAGTTGACTTCGGGCTTCACAGAGAGGAGGAGGAACATCTAAGTGAAGAAAAGTCGAGAGGGGGAGGGGGAGGGGAACAGAAGAGTATTTCAAAGATGTAAGAGACAAACACAAAGGTAGAGTGAAAAAGATGAGGTGAGTACTGTGAAGTAGTCGAATATGACATACAGTGAGGTGATGGTGTTTTGAAGTCGGAAGTCAACTGCCGGTTAATAGACTTTTTTGCCGTATGAGTATACGTTGACCAGGGTGCACCACGTGGAGGTAAGTCTATCACACACCCCAATCATCCAAAGTTGAGTTGCTAACATGTAAATCTATCTCTGTTAATCCGTTATGTGCATCTAATAATTAATAATATTGAAAACCTGACTTGCCACTAGTTATGTTTTGTTCCTTTACTCTGATGATCATTATATTTTCTTGATTCACTATCTGGGAGTAGCCTTTATACACTCTCTGGCGAAATTCCAAGCCAATATTCTTTCCTATTGACTTCAACTTATATTGTCGTTTTTCCAAGTTCGATGATTGACTGTGAATACTAAGTAGTTTCGTTGTCATCGAATGAGAAATCTGATGTAGTGAACTAAATTTCTTTTGTTTGAAACGTGAAATCTTGTCTACTGCAATTTTTTCTGGCCTTTAACAGTCATTATATCTCTTTTATATTATTTGACCTCAAAGATCATTTCAATTTTTACTCTAAATATTAAAGGCATCATTTTTCAAAATCGAATATTTGTTTTTAAAGTTAACGTTAGATCTAAAATATGCAATTAAATATGTAATAAAATATGAGGACATGAAGCATAACTAAATCGGTTCTGGGCTTATTTATTTAATTTGACCGCACGCTAAATTAAATGAAGGAAAGTGGGTAGGTCAAAAAGTTTGATTCAACTTGTAATTTATCTGTAGCCATTGGATATGGTGGAGGTTCGGATGGCGTTTTCGCTGGTTCTGGGCCTCTCCTACTCCAAGCAGGAGGTGCCGGCGTGCTTGGCCTGATCAATCCCTGGTTGGCTGGCCTTCTAATCTGCCTGCTTCCACTCATCTCTGCCCTTATTTGGGCCTGTTGGCGATGTAAACCCGGTTGCTGTCCATGCTGCGTTGGTGGCGCAGGCTTGGGCAAAGGCGCTGGCGGTAAGTTCCACGACACGATGGACCGCATTTCTGCTGGACTCTGGGCGGCTCCACCAGTCGATAAGGACCTTCTTGGTAGAAGCTTTCGTTTTTGCTCTTTGTTGCTTTTGCACACTTCCTCTTTGTCGTTAGCATGATCTCACATCAATGTCGGTGTCGTCTTTTGACTTGTTTTTCGTCCATCGGCATGCAATCTTGCTCTCAAATCGTATTTATGATCCACATGGTCTTTGTAAGGTTTAATAGTTTCCGTTCTATTGGTAATTAATAACCTCAGAAATTGTTCCGGAAATTCGATTTCATAACTAATCCATTTACTTCTCTGACTAGTTTGTGCTTAACTTTATAAAAATTAGGACTTTTTCCCTTTTACGCAATATTTTAGTCAACAATCTTTGGGAAGACTTTGGTTATGACAATTTGTCTAATTTAAATCAGATAGACAGCACTATTCTGTCTTTCGACAGAATTTCCTTTTGAATTAAACATTTTGCATCAAATGGAAATTGTAGTATATGATTTGGTATTCCAAACATGGATTTAGAATAGTAAAACATACCTGATTTCTTTTTAAATGCGCTGTGAAATGTATTGTGTAAGAATTTCATATTCATCTCTATAGAATTTATGTGAAATATGATTCAACTAATTAAACGATCAACCCTTTACCAATCACTAATGAATGAAGTTTCTGCAAGGTCAATCTATCTACCTGTACTCTCCATATTTACAAATGGAATGCAAATTTGCTTCATTGTGGTCAAAAGGGGCTTACTGGTCACTTTTTTCTACAACTGAGTTCTCCTGTCAATCGTTGTTGAGACAGTCTTCATTTGGCTTTCTGTCCACCGAAAATCAAAAAGACAAGAAAGAAATCCGGAATATACTTACTTAAAGTTTATTTAAACTTTCAAATTTTATGGATCAAGTGATTCTTGCTTCAATATCAAAAAATTTCTCGGATTTGCAGATTTTTCATGCTATTATAGAGGTGTAAATATCAGCATGGCGTTAATTATGCACGTGCGTAAATGTAGCATTTTATTGTGAATGTCCTGTTGGTTTCTTACCTGTTGAATAACATATTCGTTTCTCATTACTCGGATTTAGGGACAAAAGTACTCGTACAAATCAATATGTTCAATCCATCTTTTCAGAGGGCATTGCAATTAAGCGAATATAAGAAGTTGAGCTGTTCGGCTAATTGAAGACCTAGTTACCTTTCAAGGTTGCTATTAAGCTTACATCAAAGACACTTGACTTTTATTATTCTCATCTTGATTCTTAACATTTTTATAACCACTTTAATTTGCTGGATAATAGTTATGAGTTGACAGCTAGCAATAGCAAACGAAAGATAATAAGCGAAGGATAAGAAGGAGAGAGCATATGACGTGCAAATAAAGGGTCTTTATATGGTTTCATAAAGAGGGACACTGAACTTATGCCGCGTTCCTTCAAGAATTAACCAATTGGCTCATGCCCCAAATTATGAAAGACCACTTAAGCACGTAACATGGTTCTCAACAGGGAATTTGAGTTTTAGTTAACTTTGAAATACTTAAATGCCATTGTGAAGTTGAGATAAATAGTTTCATACATTTGTGGTGTTATAGAGAAAATGTTTTGAGACCCATAAGGATTCCCACTTCATGCGCTAAATATTTACATAAGATGACTTCTGATTGGCAACTTCTGTATTTGCACTTTTAACAAAATTGATTACCTCTTTGCTTAATTTTTAAGCAACTTCATGATATATCATGTTTGCAGAACCGTTTTTTATAATTTTATACTTCTTTGAAATCCCATTAAGACTTCCTGGATTTCTTTCAAATTGTATTGATCTTTAATTAATATAGAACTGAAAGCGCCATTTTGCATTAATAATGAGACCTAGGAACTGTTGCGAAATTTGGTAATTTTCTTCAAAGCTTGTGCCTTCTATATGGACATTTTGCTTGGAAATGAATGCAAATTGATTTTGCAAAGAGTCTGCCACGAAGGTGTCCTTACCGCTTGAGCTTGGCCATTGTCCGCAGTATGCGCTTCGTTCTTCAAATTTAAATGTGTTTACATAACTCAAATTCCTCTAGGTAAATTAATCTTTGTTTTCTTTTTCAGTGAGTTCAAAACCGCTTTTAGTGAGTTTTATTTGCAACTTGCTGCACATTTGATTAAATTGCATTACTTTACTATATACACTTGTTTGTTCACACGATCTTCAATATTTAGGAGACAAATGGGATTTGATACATCCTATTAAATAATTATATAAATTTAAATTTGATTCTGATGTATGAAATAGATGTACTGCATTCGCCGCGAACCCAGTGTTTGTTGTCAGCGTTGTGTATGTATGCGAACCCCGTGCGTTTGCCATTGTGCCCACCAGACCGCATGCTGCGTAAGATACTGCTAGAATTTTAGTCAGTCCTAGACTTCTCACCTAAAAATTGTAACACAATGAATAGCCTGTAATCCACTATATGGATCTTAAATTAATTATTATTTTTTTATTTTCAGGGTTCAAATGGAAGCGTAAGTTTAAGTTAAGAAATTGTAGTGAAAATTTTCACAAATGAATAAAATTATCATCCTTTCTCCAGGCTGGAAACTTTGTCCCCTTTCCTCCTGGAGGTGCTTCCTTCTTTACAACTGGCGGACAAACCAAATCTGATTACGTTTTTGGCCAGGATAGACAGGTCGACATCACTGATAGGTAAACAAGTTTCCCCACCTTCATTTCTCCTATATTTTCTTTGCTACATATTCTTGCACGTTCCACACAGTTTTGTAATATTTAATGGACCTCCTCTTTTCTAATATTGAAATTAAATATTTTAAAAGGTAGCTCTTATTTGCCATAAGTTCGGCATCTTTTCATTGTCTCTTAAACTGCTTTGGCCAATAGTATTAGATATTAAATTTCACCGGTGTCGCAAGTATTTTTGATTGAGTAAATATCTGGTTTTCTGAGCATATTAAAAGTATCTTCCCTTATCTTCAACCGACTACATTCTAATAGTTCTTTCTTTCACTAAAGATTTGACATGACAATGATGGACCAACATTTAGAGGCCGTGCCCAACGTTTACACCACTGACGATCTCAAAGTAGACTGCTGCGTATTGACTCAAAATAGTCGATACGTTGTCACTGGTAATGCCAATGGGCCTCCTCAAGTTTGGGACATGCAGGTAAGATATACAAATTACATTTGAAAATCAATGTTCTGTTTTCTTAATCCATAGCGTAATCGAATTGATGTTTTCCTTTATAGACTGGTGAGCCATTCAAGGTGATGAGTGGTGATGAGCTAGGCTGTAGTGACCTCCACCTTGCTGCTCAAGATACTCTTCTCGTTGGCCAAGTCATTGAGGACTACCAAGATACCACTAAAATGCATCGTCTGCAAGTATGCTACATTTTATTGAATATAGACTGCTCATGCTTTCCAGCATATTTATTCCTAATTACCTTTTCTAGTTATGGAACTTTGTGACAGGAGACCAGCTTGAGATGCCGGCTGAGATTCTATGCTCTGCAAGCTGTGTCTCGAATGCTGGAGAACACATTGTAGCCGCCAGGTCGACCTCGCGTGGTCAATCAATTCTTGTGTGGGATTTGATAGGGAATCAGCTGACAAGAGAAATTCCTTATGCACCAATTAATCCAAATGCTCGTGTCACCTACATAAGTATTACACCTGAAGACAGACTCGTTGTGGCTGGTTTCAACAATCCTGGAACCGATCAAGCCTGCTTCATGGTATTCGACCTTGCAGCTGAAGCTCGGGTACGATTCTCCACCTAAGACAATGAATGATCCTATGGGTTGTGTAGTCTCTATTGTTTTATTGCATTTAGGGTGTCGTGCAACCTAAATATATAACGTTTGAAGCCAAAGCAGAGGCTACCGAAATCCTAAATAATGAAGAAGCCGTGACCGGAACGCGAAAGGGAGAGCTCATCGTTTGGAACCTGCTGACAACAACTCCAGTTCGACAGATCACAATCAACGCTACTCTTGAGGGTGATAGTGCTGTTACGACCTTCCCACCACATGATGGAGTAATTCATGATATTGTATTATCTGAAGATCGTCGGTTCCTTGTCACAGCTTCGCAAGATCGCCGAATTCGTGTCTGGACAATGCCTGAAGAGCGCCTTCTTCATACTCTTGAAGGACATGCTGATGATGTAAGTCATTGCTTTAAAAACTGAAAATCTTTTTCAGCAAACTTAAAAAATAGTTCTATTAAAAATTTGTCAGCTTTTCTTCTACATATAATAAAATTATGGGTGGTGTCGTTTTCATTTAAGCGAGAATGTTACCCTACCATATTCTTTACTAATTCTTGATTAAAATTGAAATGTTACTGGAGTTATTTAATTTTATTTAATGTTCTATTGCATTGTCATTTTATTATTTACATGAAAAGATAGAATGTACAGGCAAATAGTGGGGGCAAATTGGGTGAGTTTGATACGGGCAAACAATATAAAGTACCTATTTTCCTTTCAAAAAGCATGTTAGGTACTAACTACGGCCCCGTTTGTTGGAACTTTGTCTTTTTCGTTTATCTATTTTCGATTATTTCCTTCATTTGCCCTTAAGACTGTCAAAATTGAAGTGAAATTGTGCAAATCCTTTAGTGCTCTTCCCATGATAGTATCAAGAGTGCATTTTGCTTTCTTCTAATTTATATTGAACTAAAGATTCATGAAGAAGTTGCTTTTTTCGAACATGTTCTGCAAGTAAGATTCAATTGTACCTGAATAGGATTGGTTTAAACTTATTTTCCAATTGTATTAATTTCCTCTCCCTATAAACTACCGGTCTATCATGAATGATTTGGGTTATTATATGCAATTACATCAGAGACCTACCTTGTTCTTAGGTGCTTACCATATTTCGCCTACTGTTCGTTATTGTTATACTTCACCAATGTATTGTCGGTATAAATATTCTGGCATCCAAGCTTATTATTAAACTACACAGGCTTCCGTTAGATATATTTTTGATTTTTGTGGTAAGCGGAGACTTTATAAACTAACATTTTTCCCATTGTAAATAATATTAATAGGTTCTGAGTGTTGCCGTATCGTGTGACAGTGAAATGGTTGTGTCAGGCAGTTGGGATGGTTCGATCAGAGTCTGGCGAATGAAAGACGGGTCACAAATGTGTATCTTCACGTCCAACATCGAAGTCCTTCAAGTTAAACTCTCTCATGACAAGCGCGCTATTGTCGGTATAGGAGAACGTAACGGACATCGCAAACTCATCATGATGCAGATTGTCCGATCTCGAACATGCGCCCCGGCAGTCTACACTCGTGTTGGAGGAGGTGCAAGCGGAGGGCTTTCTCCCGCATCCCCTCAAATGCCCCTTCCCGAAGATCCTCTTCTCTAAAGCGATATAGGCCCCCTATACCCACTTCATAAATCCATTTAGGATCTTTCCATTATCATCTCCCTTCTCGCTTTCTATCTGCATGTGAAGTCTCTAAATTTTGGTTCATCCCCGTCGATAAATAAGCCAATCCCTTAACAGTTTTACCCAATAGCTTCTTTGATTACGAAACGAGGAGCGAATATCATACGAATAGACTGAAACCTAAAAGATAGCTATTTCAAATTTCATTCTTTTTAACCTGACTTTTCTTGATGATGAGGATAAGTCCAGTCAAACTTTCACTCTCTCTTGATCGTAGTTTTCTTTCTCTCTTGCTCTATCTAGAGACGACACTTGGTATTACGACAGCCGACGATACATATATATATATATATATATATATATATTGATATAAATTGAATTTCTGGCTTTCTGCGCACAGCTTATGGTAATTAATCGAAAAAAAAGTAATTTCACTTAAACAAAATTTATTTTTGCTAATATTTTAAAATGAATAAACATTTTCAACTACAAAAACCTGGAAATAAATCAAATTTATCATGTTACACCTTCGTTTACCTTGCAATTAAATTCGCTTGTTAACACCGGACGGTAAATGTTTTGGTACTAGCCCGAGACTTTAATTGTTATTGATAAATCTACACTGATGTGAGATAAATCAAAATATGCAGCACGAGTTACTTTGGATCGTTGTTCTTGCATATACTGGCAGCTGCTGTCTTACGTGTAACTGGCAATATTAATCATATTATTTGGTAATAACTGAGCGTGGGGTCGGTTAAATTTGATTATTGGTGTTGAAAAATATGTGTTCCCCCCTTTTGATCTGCTCTCGTGATTCCGGAATAGAGCCCCATTTGCTGAAACAGTTGAGCGAAATCCGCTGAGATTCCGAATTTGGTTTGAACAACCACTTATTAACTTGTGTTAACAATTGTGTGACTGGAATAGCTGAAATAAGTAGACGAATAGTAAGTATTACCGAAGTGTTCCATGACAATGTGCCTCTCATGTGTTTAGATTCAGATCTTTTTTAGCTTAATTCGTGATTCATTTATGGTGCTTCAAACTTTAAGGGCTAAATTTCGGCCAAAAGTTTTAACCGCATTTAATGAATTGTAACAAAACTAATGATTTCAATAAGGCCCTAATGTTAGTAAATGATCACCAAACATGATCAATTAAGATTATGAAAAAATCACGCCATTATTGCATAAGCACAACCATGGGTCTTTAACTTTTCTGAAGGAGATCTCCAGTCTAAACAGCGCTGTTTTCAACATTTTCGCAAGAGGATTCTCAATTACTTTTAATGTTCAAGTTTGCTGTTCCATTTCTTCCCCTACACGTCAAAACTTCACACAATTTCAATAACATTTTATAGAAGTCATGGACAAGTAATCCCATCAAAGTAATAAACTGCCTACGCAACAAATAAAATATTTCCTGTCAACCATGTCGGTACTATGCTGAAACAAATTAATTTAATGCAATTTTGCGCGTGTGTCTTGCTTAATCCATGTACATCACAATTTTGCAGTATCAATCGCTCAATTAACCCAGACATGGAAGATATATATCTGTGGTATTACCTGTTTAAAAGATATCGGCATGCTAAAAGGAAAGCCGAAAAGTAATTTGCAAAAATATTTCATCAAGATGATCCAATTGATTAGGAAAGCGGTAATAAATCCAAGTTGCCGAGAATGTTTGGTCATGAATTAACACAAAAAAACAAAAATGCGGAAAACAGATATATGCAAAATATTTTACAAAGCAAAGATAAACTATTAGGAGGCTGAAAAACCTGACACATCAGGTTAGCTTTTGATACTAGGATATCTTCGATTGTCTATTCGTAAGCCCCATCACTATGATTGGAAAGCAATTGCGTGGTCACTCAAATCCAAATTAATAATCCTTTCAAAACTCAATTATTGAGGATGAAATCCACATAACTGATGATATCGTTAATCAGGCTAGTAATATTGATGGGAAACTTAAGTGACGCTGGGTTGAACGCACATTTTGAGACAATGTATAAAATCAATGGCCTTGAGATTTACCTTCTGGTGACTTATTATTTGTTCATTTAACCAATATGAGATCTCCAAAGAAGTGATTCACTAAATGTCTTCCTCAGGTGACATAAAGCGCGGGATCTGTCCTAATTGAATTAGTAACTCTTAGAAAGGCTTACCTATTTATCATCCAAAATTATGCGCCCCCCCCCCCTTCCAGGTCATTTCCAGGTCAAACTCCTAAGTGCCCTTCGTCTAATATGTATGGGGCATTTATAGTAATTGGATAGATAGAAATCTAGGGAATATTCGAACGTAAATGAGGCTATGAATCTGCAGGAATAAAGTTCAGAATGCATATGTCTTAATGATAAAGTACGAGCATTTACGTCAAAAAAGTGGTACTAAAGGGCAGAATAATAATGATAATTATATATTTAGGCATTTTTTGGGGTGATATTAATAAGTCATGCAAAGATTATGTAACTACTACAGGTGTTTAATAGAATGATTTATTTATATCAAATGGCAGGCATTTTGATGGTTATCA